TTTTTTTTTAAGATTTTATTTGAGCAGCGTGGGTGGCTCAGCGGTTTAGTGCCGCCTTCAGCTCAGGTTGTGGTCCTGGGATCGAGTCCTGCGTCAGGCTCCAGGGAGCCTGCTTTACCCTCTGCCTGTGTCTCTGCCTCTCTCTCTCTGTCTCTCATGAATAAATAAATAAAATCATAAAAAAAAGATTTCATTTATTAACTTGAAGGTGACGGGGAGAGATCATGAGTCGGGGTGGTGGTGGGGGAAGCAGAGGGAGAAGCAGATTCCCCATTGAGCAGGGAGCCTGATGTGAGACTCAATTCCAGGATCATGACTCATGCTGAAGGCAGGTGCTCAGCCGACTAAGCCATGCAAGTACCCTCCTTTCTTGCTTTAAGATCATCTCTTTATTTAGTGTTTTTTCTATTTTATTTTTTAAAAGATTTTATTTACTTGAGAGAGAGTGGGAGGGTGAGGGGGAGAGAATCTGAAGCAGACTCCATGCTGAGCAGAGAGCCTGACTCAGGGCTTAATCCCATGACTGCAAGATGATGACCTGAGCTGAAACCAAGAGTCAGAGGTTTAACTGACTGAGCCTCTCAGGCACCCCAGGTTTTTTTCTCTATCTTAATTATTATGTGTCTTATGTGGATCTACTTGGGTTCATCTTGTTTGGGGCTCTCTGTGCTTCCTGGGATTGGATGTTAGTTTTCCTCTTCCCAGGTTAAGAAAGTTTTCAGTACCATTCTTTCTTCTGAGAGTCCTGTAATGAGAATGTTGCCCCAGAGTTCCCTTAATTTATCCCAATTTAAATAATTACTTTTTTTGTTGTACAGCTTGGGTGCTTTTCACTGCCATATCTTCTACGTCACTGATCTGTTCTGCTGCAGCCTCTAGTCTGTTGATTCCTCTAGTGTAGTTTTCATTTCATTTATTGTATTCTTCATCTCTGGTTCTTTTTTATATCTTGCATCTTGTTTTTGAAGTTCTCACTGAACTCATCTACTTTTCTGTCAAGATGAGTGAGCATCTTTAGGACTGTTACTTTGAACTCTTCATCAGATAGATTGTTTCATTTAGTTCTTTTTTCTGTCCTGTTTTATTTGAAACATATTCCTCTTTCCACATTTTGTCTGACTCCTTGTTTATTTGTATGTATTAGGTCAGCCACAGGTCCTGGTCTTGAAGGTAGTGACCTCTTAGGTGGAAGGCATCCTGTGGGTCCCAGGAGTGCAGTCCCTCCAGTCACCAAAACAATTCACTCCAGGGTGTGTCTCCTGTGTATGCTTTATGAGCTCTTTTATAACTGGTCTGGGACTGCTGTGGGTATGCTGGTGGGTGGGGCTGGCTCTCAGCCCATCTCTCTGCAATGACCAGCCATGATTACTGCAAACACACTAGTGGACAGGGCTAGTCCCTGCTGTGGCTGACTGAGAGACCATCCTGTAGCTGCTGCTGGTATGCTGGTGGGTTGGACCAGTCTCTCCTCCCAAGGGTAGAAGTTGCTTTGGAGAGATGCCCGACCCAGCTGGGGCTGCCTATGGGCTGTCGCAGGACAGGAATTGCTTTGGAAGGGTACCTGCTGGGGATGGGTAGCTTAGGTGGGGTGGGTTTGCAAGGGAATGCTAGGGTGGAGGTGCTAGCAAGATAGAGGGAGAGGGTCAGAACTGGCTGTCACAAGCATCCAGCCATTTAGGCTGAAGGAGAACCAGAAGAATAGCCCATACTCGCACTTCTTTTCTTTGAGAAGGCTTCTACACATCTCTGCTCCTCTGGCACATGCTCCAAAATTAGTTAATCTTCATCTATGACTCAGGTACTTTTCAAACTGCTGCCTTTTGTGTTGGGTTTCAGACTGTGTGTAATAGTATGTTGGCCCTTTAAGAATGGAATCTCAGTTTCCTATAGCCTTCTGGCTTTCCCATTACCATAGTTAAGCCCTGTTGATTTTCAGTAGGAAGTGTACTTCTCTCTCTCTCTGCTCCCACCTCTTGTGCATACACTCTCTGAGGGAGAGAGAGAGAACACAACTGGGTTGCTGCAGAGGGAGAAGGAGAAGCAGGTTCCCTCCCCCACCAAGCAGGGAGCCCAACATGGGGCTCATTCCCAGGACTCCAGGATCAGGACCTGAGCTGAAGGCAGACGCTTAACCAACTGAGCCACCTAGGCAGCCTAACATTGACTGTTTCCCTATTCTGTATCTTTCATCCTCGTGACTTACTCATTCCATAATTGGAATAATGTGCTTCCCACTCCCCTTCACCCCTTTTGTCTATTCCTCCACAACCCCTATTTTCTTTAAGTTAAAATGATATTTGGAGACAATAGATGTATAAAGGTATACTGATAAAGAAGCGGACAGCTCTAAGTAGATATATACATTAGAAAACTGGGTTTTGTTTAGTGAGAAGAGAGAGAAAAGAGTGTGAGCAGAAGGAGGGAGAAAGTGAGGGCGAAAGAGAGAATGAATCTTACACAGGCTCAGCACAGAGCCCAGTCTCATGACCCCCCCCGACTATGACCCAAGCTAACATCAAGAGATCAAGAGTTGGACACTCAACCAACTGAGCCACCCAGATGCCCTGAAGATAAGTTGTTTTTTACAACATTGTTAAGTAAATGTTTTCTATTTGGTGGTTAATATGAGTTATATTGTTGAATTAATTAATTGATTTTTAAATATTTTATTTAATAAATAAAGAGAAAAAGAGGTAGAGACACAGGCAGAGGGAGAAGCAGGTAGAGACACAGGCAGAGGGAGAAGCAGGAAGCCCGACATGGGACTTGATCCCATTTCTCCAGGATCACACCCTGGGCCAAAGACGGTGCTAAACCGCTGAGCCACCTGGGCTGCCCATATTTTTTAATTTAAAATTAACTTTTCTTGGGGTGCCTGAGTGGCTCAGCCGGTTAAGCATCTGGCTTTGGCTCAGGTGATGATCTTTGGGTCCTGGGCTGTAGAGCCCCCATTGGGCTCCTTGCTCAGTGGGGAGTCTGCTCCTCCCTCTCCCTTTGTCCCTCTCCCCTACTTGTGTGCACACACACATTCTCTCTCAAATGAATGAATAAAACATCTTCAAGAAAAAAAAAACTTTTTTTTAAAAGACTTTATTTATTCATGAGAGACACGAGAGAGAGGCAGAGACATAGGCAGAGGGAGAAGCAGGCTTCTCACAGGGAGCCCAATGCGGGACGTGATCCCCAATTCTTGGATCATGACCTGTGCTGAAGGCAGGCGCCCAACCGCTGAGCCACCCAGGTGTCCCTAGCTTTTTTATTTTATTTTTATTTTTTAAAGATTTTATTTATTTATTCATAGAGAGAGGCAGAGGGAGAAGCAGGCTCCACGCAGGGAGCCTGACGCAGGACTTGATCCTGGGGCTCCAGGATCACATTCCTGGCTGCAGGCAGCACCAAACCGCTGCACCACTGGGGCTGCCCTAGCTTTTTTATTTTTAAGTAAGTATAGATCTCAGGAAGTTACATAGTCTAAAAGCCCCATGTTCCCTTCACCCAGCCTCCCCAAATGATGACATATTAGATAGCTATAGATTTTACTTAGTTTTCACCATTTTTTAACTTGCATGTAGTGTTACAAAATTTTTCCCATACACAGAGATTCACTTTACCACCAATGCAATCAAGATACCAAACTGGTCTGGGACTGTAAAAACTGCCTCATGCTATTTGTATTCACACCAATTCACATTCTATCTCCTCCCTATCCTCTGAAAAGCACTGATCCAGTCTCCATCTCTATAGTTCTATGAATTTATTTTCTACTAAACCTAACATGCTTGAGGTCCATCCAGGTTATTGCATGTGTCAGTTATTCACTCCTTACTGCTGAGTAGTCTTCCATTGTACAGATGTTAGAGAATTTATTCAGTTACTCATCCTTGAAGTTTCTTCCTAGTGTTGTGCTATATGAGTAAAGATTTTGTGAATATAAGCTTCATTTATTTTTTTTTAGGAATTGTATTTTAAAATACTTCATCATAAATATGCAAAAGGAATCTTTCATCCTGTTTACTTTTCCCCCCTCCTCTCTTAGATACCATTCTTTTAAGTTTTTAAAAATCTGGTATATAACCATACATTTTCCATACAATTTATCTTCCAGTGTTGAGGAAAAAGAGCTAATTACAGATGATATTCTGATACCGTTTTTAATGTGAGATTATGACCTGAAATTTAAGCAGTAGGGAAAGTTTATTGATCATATCCACAACTGCCTAATGCTCCATGAGGATTTATTCAATTCCTGGTTGATAGATACTAATTTGATTCTGTGGTACTAATCTTTATTAAAAGCCAATCCAGTGAAGTAGCTTTGTAATTATGAAAGACTTGCTTTTATAATTATTATTAGTTGAAACAATTTGTTATGTTCACATAACAAAGAAATTTTCTGGTATAATGATAATGACCCAATATTCATTCTTTGTCACTAAATTCTTATTCAACTAAAATTAGCTTTTAATCATGCTCTCTAAATTGATAAGGTAGTTTCAACTAACTTAAGTTTGAATATTATCTTTCTCACTTAGACTAGAGTTCAGATCTTTGGAAATTCCTTACCCTTTTTTTTAGACATTCCTATGAGAGTGCCAGTTGTGTTAAGAAGCAGAAATACTGGGATGCCTGGGTGGCCCAGTGGTTTAGTGCCTGCCTGCGGCCCAGGACGTGATCCTGGAGTCCCGGGATCGAGTCCCACATAGGGCTCCCTGCATGGAGCCTGCTTCTCCCTCTGCCTATGTCTCTGCCTCTCTCTCTCTCTCTCTCTCTCTCTCTCTCTCTCTCTGTGTCTTTCATGAATAAATACAAATAAAATCTTTAAAGAAAAAAAAGCAGAAACATAAGTATCGGGGGAAATGTAATACATTTTCCCTGGGATATTACAGACAGATTGAGAAGCTTAGGGAGGCATAGAAAATTTACAGCATCTGTGATATCGATGTAATATGTTTGAGCCTCATGGTGTGGGCCTGACTCCACATCGTCTTTGTTCTTTTCAGATACAAGCAGTGGATTCAGTACCCTCTCAGCAGTAGACTCTTTCTGTGAAGCCAGAGCCATATACACCATCCTGATCCTGGTGAGAATGTTTGACTCCTTTTACTCATTCACTTTTATCCTTTTGGATAACCCTGATTATGAATCCAAGCTGTCGGCTCACAACCACCTGTCTTCCCTTCTGTCTTCATGTTTCTCAGCATTTCCTTCCTTTGTACTCATTAGCAGTGACAAACCCATTCCTTGGTTCTGTTTTGGAGGCATAGAAAACATCTTTTTCCAAATAGAGTCTCTGGGCTCTTAAATTTCCTCCAGAACACTCAATTGTGTATTTAGTAACACTTTAAAAAATATTTATAGTCTCATAAACTATGGCAGTTAATCTGCTGGGAATTTTGCATTCAGTGTTGAATAATAGTTGTAGGATACAAAAGAAACCATTGTGTAAGCAGTTACTCAAAGACAGAATTTCATGAAAATGTAATGTATGGCTTTTTCAGGTTTTGGGAGTTTGACAGTAAATATCCCGTGCTGATCTGAATTTTAAGCTAGTACCCAAAATATGTATCTTATAAACATTGGGTGAAGGGTCAATGCATATGGACCATGGTGAATAAAAATGTCTAAATTGTCTAAGTAGCATTTTTAATCTAATGCTATGAATGATAGAGAAAAGATTACATTTCTTGAGTAGGGACCTCTTTCCCTTTACACTCTTAGCAGAAGAGAGTAAAAATGTGAGAAGCTAGAGGTTAGTTTGTGTAGTTTGATCTCAGTTCAACTTTCTGAAGGAGGGAAGATTGTCGATATTCCTCTTTTCTAGAAAGTTTCTGCTTGTATCATGTAATGTATGCTCCAGGAAAGCTTCTTTCTGCCTATGTTGATTCTTATGCCAAAGCAGCATATTTTAGTCCCATCACCAGAAACACTACAAGCACAGATTTGGTTCTAGACCACTGGAATAAAGCAAGTCAAATGAAGGTTTTGGTTTCCTAGTGCATACATAAAAATTATGTTTTTTAAAATTTTAATTTAATTTTTATTTTTTAAAAAGATTTTATTTATTTATTCACAAGAGACACACACAGAGAGAGAGGTAGAGATAGGCAGAGAGAGAAGCAGGCTCCATGCAGGGAGCCCAATGTGGCACTCGATCCCAGGACTCCAGGATCACGCCGTGGTCTGAAGGCAGGTGCCCAACTGCTTGAGTCACCCAGGTGTCCCTAAAAATTATGTTTAGTGTAGTCTTTTATGTCTAACCCCCCTTCCCCGCTTCCATATACAGACCTTAATTAAGAAATACTTTCTTTCTTTCTTTCTTTTTTAAAGATTTTATTTATTTATTCATGAGAGAAAGAGAGAGGCAGACTCAGGCAGAGGGAGAAGCAGGCTCCACGCAGGGAACCCGATGTGGGACTCGATCCCGGGACTCAAGGATCACGCCCTGCCCCAAAGGCAGGCGCCAAACCGCTGAGCCACCCAGGGATCCCCAAGAAATACTTTCTTGCTAAAAAACACTAACCCTGGGCAGCCTGGGTAGCTCAGTGGTTTAGTGCTGCCCTCGGCCCAGGGTGTGATCCTGGAGACCCGGAATCAGGTCCCATGTTGGGCTTCCCTGCATGGAGCCTGCTTATTCCTCTGCTTGTGTCTCTGCCTCTCTCTCTCTCTCTCTCTGTCTCTCTGTGTGTCTGTCATGAATAAATAAATAAAACCTTAAAAAAAAAAAACCACTAACCCTCATCTGAGCTTTTCATGAGTCCTAATCTTTTTGTTTGTGGCCTGGGGTAGCTGTGGCAATTTAAAATAAGACAGCGAAGTTCACCATATCAGTCGACTCTTTCTTTCACAAATCTTTCACCATAGAACTTCTTTATCAACTGTCATTTCAGCAGTCATCAAGCATCTTCACCAGGACTAGATTCCACCTCAAGCAACCCTTTCTCTGGTCATCCATTCAAGTTTTATTATGAGATTTTTTTGCAACATTTATTATGAGATACTTTGCAACATTTCAGTCACATCTTCTCTACTTCTAATTCTCTTGCAATTTCCACCACATCTATCATTACTTTTTTTTTTTTAAAGATTTTATTTATTTATTTATGAGAGACACAGGCAGAGGGAGAAGCAGGCTCCATGCAGAGAGCCCAATGTGGGACTCAATCCTGGGTCTCCAGGATCATGCTCTGGGCCGAAGGCAAACGCCAAACCACTGAGCCACCCTGGGATCCTATTACTTTTTTTTACAGAAGTCTTAAATGAGGGTTAGAATCAACTTCTTCCAAACTCCCCTTCATGCTTTGACTCTGCCACCCATAAATGGCTGCTAGAATGGAATTTTCAGTTTAGTTTACTTCTCTGGTAAACTTAATTCTCTGGCCTTACACATTGTATTTCATAAACAATAAGACTTGAAAGTCAAAATTGCTCCTTGATCCAGGGGCTACAGAATGGATGTTGTGTTAGCATCACCATCAGAGCTCTTGAGTGACGAGGTACACTGAGCAGTAGGTCTCAGCAGTGGACTTAAAATATTCAGTAAGATTTTATTTATTTAGGAGAGAGAGAGAGGAGAGAGAGAGAGAGAGAGAGAAGCAGGCTCCACACAGGGAACCTGATGTGGGACCCGATCCCGGGACTCCAGGATCATGCCCTGGGCCAAAGGCAGGTGCTAACCTGCTGAGCCACCCAGGGATCCCCAGATTTAGCATCATTCGTAAGAGCCCTAGGATTTTCAAAATGATAAATGAGCACTGGTCCCTAATGAGAGTCTACCTGTCCTTTGAAGCAAGGCTTGACTTCTCTAGCTGCGAAAGTACTAGATGGTCGTCGCTTTGACAGCACATATACTGAAAGTGCTAGATGGCATCTTCCAATAGAAGGCTATTTTGTTTGCCTTGAAACTGTATTGTTTAGCATAGCCACCTTCTTGAATGATCTTAGCTAGATCTTCTGGATCACTTGCTGCAGCTTCTGCATCAGCACTAGCTGCTTCACCTTGTACTTTGATGATAGGGAGATGGTTTCTTTCCTTCAACCTCATGAAGCACCCTCTGCTTTCAACTTGTCTTCTGCCAACTCACCCCTCTCAGCATTCCTAGAATTGAAGAGAGTTAGGACCTTGCTCTGGATTAGGTTTTGGCCTAAGGGAATGTCGTGGCCATTTTGATCTTCTATCCAGACCACTAAAACTTTATATCAGTAGTAAGGCTGTTTGCTTTCTTATCATTTGTGTGTTCACTGAAGTAGCACTTTTAATTCTCTTCAAAGACTTTTTGAGGGTTTTTTTTGTGTGTGTGTGTTCACACCTTGGCTACTTGGCTAGCTGTTGGGCTCACGAGGCCTAGCTAGCTTTTGGTCTATCTTGGCTTTCAATATCCCTTCCTCACCAAGCTTAATCATTTCTATCTTTTTTTTTTTCAACACAGTTTGACAAATTTATTTTTTTTTTAAGGTTTGTTTGCTTGCTTGCTTGCTTGCTTATTTATTTATTTATTTATTTATTTATTTATTTATTTATTTATTTATGAGAGAGACACACACACAGGCAGAGACACAGGCAGAGGGAGAAGCAGGCTCCATGCACGGAGCCTGATGTGGGACTCAATCCCTGGTCTCTGGGTTCACACCCCAGGCTGAAGGCGGTGCTAAACCACTAAGCCACTGGGGCTGCTCTCATTTTCTATCTTTTGATTTAAACTGAAAAATGTATGATTCTTCCTTTCACTTGAATGCATAGAGGTCGTTCTTAATTTATTTTTTATTTTTATTTTTTAAGATTCCATTTATTCATGAGAGACACACACACAGAGAGAGACAGAGAGGCAGAGACACTGGCAGAGGGAGAAGCAGGCTCCATGCAGGGAGCCCGATGCGAGACTGGATCCCAGGACTCCTGGATCACGTCCTGGGCTCAAGGCGGGTGCCAAACTGCTGAGCCACCTGGGATCCCCGATAGAGGTCGTTTTAATATTAATTTTCATAATTTCAGTGCTGTTGTGTCTTAGGGACTAAGGAAGCCTGAAGACGGAGCAGTCAGAACAGACACCACAGCATTTATCAATTCTAGATGGCCCTTGAAAGAGGGCTTCATTACCTGGAAATGTCAAACCTGTTAATTGTTCCACAAGAGAGAGAGGAGCTTTAGAGTATTTTCTAATTTAAGAGCCAAAAAAATTCTTGATGCACTTACTGTTTTTTACTCCCAGTAATTTACTTGTTTGGGTAATGTTCTTTGTGCTTGTATGTATGCACACACAGACTTGTGGGAGAGCTTGTCTTTCCCAGGTGGCCTCAATTTTACGTAGAATCTTTGATGCCATATCATTTATATACCTGCAGATTAGCAAATCACTGTGACACAGTAAGTGTAGGTGTGCTCTTTGGCACCTCAACTCAGGAGTATGTCCCTCACAATATCTTTAATGGATATCTTCGTCTATTTAACCCCCTTAAGAGATAAGATATATGGTTTTATTTGTTCCTTTAATTCAGATGCACTCAGTAACTCCGAGCCATCTCTCCAGAAGTGAGAACTCATTTATTCTCAGTCCTTTCATGTGTATCGCTTTTACATTGGGTTCTACGTAAAGCTGTATAAGCTAGTGAGCACAACTGATATGAGTGAATCTGGTTTGGAGCTTTACGTTTTATTTTATCTTATTTATTTACTTTTTAAAAAGATTTTATTTATTTATTCATAAGAGAGAGAGAGGCAGAGACACAGGCAGAGGGAGAAGCAGGCTACATGCAGGGAGCCTGACATGGGACTCGATCCTGGGTCTCCAGGATCATGCCCTGGGCCAAAGGCAGTGCTAAACCACTGAGCCACCCGGCCTGCCCCAAAGCTTTACATTTTATAACCTACTCTCTTCATAGCCCTACAATTTGCAAAGTTTAGAGCAAGCTCTGCACTGAGAATATGGTTTTGAAAGCTTTAGAATCACTTTCATTTTTATCAAGTGTGCCCTTGCTTCTGGCTGTGAAGTTAGAGCAGTCTCCCTCACTCTCCTTCTGTAAGTGACTATAAAACTGGACCAAATACCAGTGGCTTTCTGATGTTGGACAAAAGCACTGATTGAACAATGAGCCTTGAGAAAACAAAAATATAGGAGATGAGGTCACATTATTCCCAGTTCCCTCCAGAGGTCAGACACACTATTATGAGTGACTCTATGGAATGGCACAGCCATTTGGATTTGTAACCTTTGGAGGGCATCTGGGAGCCTGCTATTGTAAAGTCTGAATTAGCATCAGTGTTGCTAAACATTCAAGTGAATGCCCTGGAATCTGGGCACAACCTCCCAACCCCGCACTCAGAGCCAGCACAACACTTCCCAGTGCCCCTTGTGGTGCTGCTTTGCCTGTGTTCCAGAAGGTTCTGATGTGCTGCGCCCTTTGCAGAAGCCTGCAGAGCGGTAACAACTGCATTGCCCAGAGGACCCCGTGCCAAGTGACGCCATCGTGGAGCCAATGAAGGTCCAGGAGACGGGCGTTTCTGTGTGTGCCATCACATCAGAGTGGGACTTCCAGGGTCCTCGTGGCAGTTGTTTTGTCAGCTCTGGGGTCCATTTCCTGTTTGGAGGTTCCAGAGCACAGGGTCAGGACGAGGCAAGGACTGGTGCCACTGGAGAGGAGGCATCCCTGCAGCACTGGGCTGCTCCTGGCCCCGCTCCACCCACCAAGTCTGATGGCGGCGGCCGAGCCCAGGGATCCAGCTCAGGTAAACACTTGTCTCATCTCTCTCGGGCCCTCCTGCCACCCACTTGCAGGCAGGGTGCCTGCTCCCTGCCCAGGCTCTGATGTCAGGGGGCCCTGTGTCTGAGCGCCACTGTGGTGGCTCCAGGCTGGGGGAAACCTGGTGTCAGTTTTATGTCTACAAGGTAAGCAGGGTGTGAGGCAGAGGCATGCCTGGACTCACAGGCAGAGAGGTGGTCAGAGAAGCAGTGGAGACCAGAGCTCTACTGATGAAGTACTTTTGGAAGTTACCCATAAAGGGGAGGGTGTCCAGGACCCTGGAAAGACATCCAGGTGTAGCAAAAGTCAGTAAAATGAAGTTTTCATGGGGTACAGGTACCAGTATGGCTGAGCTTTGAGTATTCAGGGAAATGCAGGTGTTCTTTCTTTATGATGGTTTGGATCTTACCTTACCAGTGCTTTGTTACTGCAGCAAACACAAAGGGAAGGTTAGGGTTGGGTGCAACATAGATGTAAATTGCAGCCCTGGGGATGAGAGAAAATGTTGGATTTTAAATTCCCTTTTTTTTTTTTTTAAGATTTTTATTTATTTATTCATGGGAGACACAGAGAGGCAGAGACCCAAGCAGAGGGAGGAGAAACAGTCTCCATGCAAGGACCACAATGTGGGACTCGATTCTGGGAATCTGGGATCATGCCCTGAGTCAAAGGCAGTCGCTCAACCGCTGAGCCACCCAGGCATCCCTAAATTCCTTTTTTAAAGTAGAACCAGATTTTCTAATGTAGGAAATAGGAGACAGGGATGACCCCTAGGGCTTTTGTCTCAGCAACCATGTTGAGTCTGACATCTTTAGAAAACAATGCAGGGCATTAGGAGGGCAGCTGGATATAAAAGTCTGTAAATTTGAGTTGGGGTTCAGCATTAGATGCATAGGTGGACCTTTGTGTCACATTAGGAAGGCAAATTCAAATGATGGAGAGAAGATTAAGAGGCCAGGAAGAAGAGGGTGGGTACTGCATAACCTCTCAAACACACGTAAGGGGTAGAAGACTTACAGAAGAGGAGACCGGAGCAGGATGTAGAGGCAAGAGGGGGCTGCTGCCTATTTGTGGCAACCTTACTTGGAACCTGGTAGATGAGCCTAATTCAAGGGCAGAGGTCATCATCTGTTAATTACTAGACCTAGTATTATGTTTACATATTAATTCTCAATATTTAGAGATAGTGGATATTAAAGTGAGGTTTTTCTTTTTTTTACGATTTTATTTATTAAAAATTTTTTTTAAAAAAAGATTTTATTTATTCATGAGAGACACAGATAGAGTCAGAGATACAGGCAGAGGGAGAAGCAGGCTCTATGCAGGGAGCCTGACATGGGACTCGACCCAGGGCTCCAGAATCACACCCTGGGCTGAAGGCGGCCCTAAAACGCTGAGCCACATGGGCTGCCCTAAAGTGAGGTTTTTCAAGTAGGCTCTAAATCCCATGTGATTAGTGTCCTTGAACACTGGAGACTTGAGGCTGCCCTAGGAAGTGGGGTGCTACTTGCCAAGAACTCTTGATGCCATAAAGGTATAAAAGAGGTATATGAGCTGATAGGCCCCAGATGCTTGGTATTAGGGACTTAGGAACAGTGGTTGAGGCTATGTTTTATGATACCTAGTAGAAACGCTGTGGAGGATTTCAGGGAAATTGCATGGTTGGGGACTGGCCGTGAACTTAAGATTCTATCTGCCCACCTGCCTGTTGCAGAGGGCTGGACATAGTCATTACTGGCACCAGGGCTTGGTATATCCTTTGAGTTGGGTGCCCTGGGAGGAGGAGGAGCCTGGGATAGATTGGGGTGGGGTGAGGGTGGGGGACTGGAATGTGGGTCCTATGGAGAAGGGATGTTTGTGGTTTCATCTCTCCCCATCATGGCAGGGTAGTGTGACCTTTGAAGATGTGGTTGTATACTTTTCCTGGGAAGAGTGGGGTCTCCTTGATGAGACTCAGAGATGCCTATACCATGATGTGATGCTGGAGAACTTTGCACTTGTGATCTCACTGGGTAAGACCCTCATGCCCACCCCAGTGCCCTGGGCTAGACTCTGCTCTTTTTCTCACATTTGGATTGTGGGCACTGCCATCACTTAGGTCTAGGCTCAGCACTTGCCCTCTGGTTGAGTCTGCAAACCCCCCATGAGCCTGATGGATCAGCCTCCAGCACTCTTATCCAGATCCATGGCACTTGCCCAGGCTTTCTTCCTCCTCACCTGGAGGCCCAGGGACTGTTCTTAGATGTTCCTCTGTGGGTCTGCATATAATATTTATTTGTGTTTCCTCTCCTGGGTCGTATGCAGAATTGCTCTGGGGCATGGCCAGTCCTCTGCCTGTCCTGTCGTTGTGTCATCCAAATCCCAGTTAATTCAACTGTGGTTTAGAGGAGTTAAGAACCCCTCACAGGATGGCCTACCAGTGTGTTGATGCCAGTGCCCACCCCTCCTTTCTACCTTTCTTTCCTTCGCCTCAGTTTTTGATTCCTAATCAGTTGCAACTAGATATTCCTGGGCCTGGACCTAAACTTACATACAGCTCCAGTGAAGGCCATTGGCAGAGGAGTGAATTGGAGACCCTGCTTCTTCCTATGGGACCTCCCCAAGTCTTGTGACTTTAGAGTTCCAGGACTACAGCCCTTTGATCAGCCTAACCCCAACACCCTCTTCTTGAAAACAAATGCAGTGACCTATTATTTAGTGTACCCAGCAGATGTTTATGATGAGGTTAGCTCCTTCCCCCAAAGATAATATAATATGCACATCACACTGGCATTTCTGTATTTCCAGGTTGTTGGTATGGAATGGAGGATGAGGCGGCACTTTCTGTGCAACGAATGTCACTGGGCAAGACTCCAAGTCCAGATCCATCCATTTGGAAAGCTCAGTCCTGTGAGAAGTGTGTCTTGCCTGGGAGAGACATTTTGTACCTGGCTGAGGACCAAGAATCACATCATGGGCAGAAATCGTACACCTGTGAGGCATGTGGGAAACAGTTGTGGTTCAGTGCGAATCTTCGCCAGCACCAGAAGCACAATGAAGAGAAGCCATTCAGATGGGACATGGAGTTTGTGACAAGCTACAAATTGCATGTGTCAGGGAAGCCTTTCCCCTGTGGGGAAATTGGGAAGGACTTCCTGGCCATATTGAGTCTTCTCCAGCATCAGGCCACCCTCAAAGGGGCCAAACCACACAGCAGCTTTGAACATGGGGAGTCCTTTCATGGTAGGAAAAGTCCTCACACATGCAGTGACACTGGGAAATCATTCAGCTATGAACATAAACATTTCCAGCCTCAGCAACTTCACACTAGAGAAAGTTATCATGACTGGGATGACTGTGAGAAACCTTTTAACCAAAGCTCCATCCTTAGTAATTGTCAGAGAGCTTACCCAGGAACAAGGTCTTATGAGTGTAACGAATGTGGGAAATCCTTTAGCCAAAGCTACAACCTCATTCAACACCACAAAATTCACACTGGTGCAAGGCCTTATAAATGCAGCGAATGTGGAAAAGCCTTCAGCTTCAAATTCAGACTTGTCCAGCACCTGCAGATTCACACTAGAGTGAGGCCTTATGCATGTGGCGAATGTGGGAAAGCCTTTAGCTACAGCTCTACTCTCATTAAACACCAGAGGGTTCACACAAGAGAAAAGCCTTACAAGTGTGGTGAGTGTGGGAATTCCTTCAGCCAAAGCTCCAACCTCATTCAACACCAGAAAATTCACAGTGGAGCAAGGCCTTATAAATGCAATGAATGTGCAAAATCCTTCAGCTACAAATGCAAACTGGTTCAGCACCTGCGCATTCACACCGGAGAAAGGCCTTATGAGTGTGGGGAGTGTGGGAAATCCTTTAGCCACAGGTCCACTCTCAATCAACACCAGAGAATTCACACTGGAGCCAGACCTTATAAGTGCAATGAGTGTGAGAAATCCTTTAGCCAAAAGTCCAACCTTATCCAGCACCGGAGAGTCCACACAGGAGAAAAGCCTTACGAGTGTGGGGAATGTGGGAAATCCTTCAGCCAAAGCTCCCACATCATTCAACACCGAAAACTTCATACCAGATAACCTTGTGAATGCAATGAGTGTGGCAAAATGTTCATAACCCAGGTCTGTGTTACATATGTGCAGCACGTATAGGTGGAAAACCTTCATCTAAAGGTCTAACCTGGTTGGGTACCAGAAGGCCCTGCACAGAATGTGGTATATTTCATAGAGCAAGACTTACTGTGAGGGAGCCATCTCCTGGAAATTGAACATCACATCTATGAACATCCAACACTGGGGCAGATTCCCCAAGACTTGTAGGTTTAATGGGCAAGCTTTCTGGAGCCCTGCATAGCCCTCTGCTCTGCCAGGTTCCTCAGTGGGTGTAGTAGTCAAGGGAGGTGTTCTCTCTTGACCATCATGAATGATTGGGGATGGGGGTTACACAGCAATTTCTTTCTTCCTCATTAGGGTTTTGACCCAGTTTTGACAAAGCTAAGGGGTTGATAATACTTTTTACCTTCCAGGCCTAGAGTGCCATGAGAATAGTATATTTCTCTTAAGACCACCTTTAGAGTTCCTAGGGGAGTGGTTCTTTTTCTCCAGGGCTGTCAAATGTTGAGCACTATTGTGGGGGAGCTATTCCCCAAATACTGCAAAGAAATCATGTGCCTTCGTGTGTAGGTTCACTTTTCTGGTGTTATTGTTTGTAAGACTACTTATAGGGGCCAGGTGATGTGTACAGAAATAGGACTGCAGGAAGTGATGTATTTGTCTACTGAAACTTGCATCCCCAGGTGTTCCAGTGACCATGCCTGTGGTTCAGTTTATACACTCCACGTGCATGTTCTTTTCTGTAGCTGAGGAACTTGAGGCCATTGTCAATCTTATTTTTCTAGTCTGTCTCAAGGATATTACTGCACGGGATAATAGGATAGAGATAAAAATCCTGTTGGTGGGACCCTGCAGCTTTTTGATCAGCTGCAGACCCAAATAGAAATTATCTTGAAATTTTCAGTGATGCAGGGCATTGGACTCCTTGTGCAAAAATTAAATAAAATAAAATAAATTGGGGGACCCAAGACCTCTATTTGATTTTTAAGTAAAGCTTTATTGAGGTTAATTAATATGCTGTAAAACTGCACATATTTAAAGTTGTATACAAAACTGTGGATGGTAAATCTATATAAACTCCTTTTCCTTGTGCCCTTTAAAAAACTTCTCCCCCACAGTAAATTATTTTGTATTTTTTACATTAGACTCAAATGTTTATTTTTTTTAAACTGTGGTTTCCTTTACTGAGTAATTATTTTGAAAGAACCAAGATGTTTTTACTCATCTATGCTGCTCACTCACCACAAATAAAACTTCAAATATATATATAAACAACCCTCCCCCATGAATCCTTCCCCCATGTAGTCATTGTCTTTCCCTTACTGTATTACCCTGTAACCACTTAGAAATCACTCTTGATTTTTACAAATGTGTGATGGATATAAACTTTGGAGACTTCTCTAAAGTGAATGTTGCTGCTAAAAATACTGGTTTGTGTAGGGTAAAAAGTTGAAAAACTGTCTTATCCCCAGACCTTTGAAATGGCAGATTTGTAAGTATATATAAGGAAAAAAAAAAAAAACCCACCCTACAATATGCAAACTGGGGAATCCATACCACATTCACTGCTCCCTTTCCCCAATTTGTAGACATTTTGGTAGCATTTCTAAAACTAACACCACCGGAAAAAATAAAACTAACACCTGTGCCCCAAGATTGTGGCTGAAACACCAAGACAGATCTCACTCAGAAATCCTACACAGATGGGACACCTGAGTGGCTCAGATGTTGAGTGCCTGCCTTCATGCCCAGGGCATGACCCCGGAGTCTCAGGATCAAGCCCTGCATCGGGCTCCCTGCATGGAGCCTGCTTCTCTCTGTCTCTCATGAATACATAAGTAAAATCTTTAAAAAAAAAAAAAAGTTCCAGCTCACTGCACGATATGAAGATGATAGCACACCCTAGAATTTGGTTCCAAGTTTAGACCCTGAGCAGGAAATTCTGCATTTATCTAACCTCATTGTTCAACAGTGTGAGTGTTATATTATCGCCTTCAACTTATAAAAGGCTAAGCTTTCTTTGATTTCCAACAGCAGCAAGGAACAGGGAACACCTGGCCCTTTTTGGGCCAAAGAAGTCTATTTGCTTATTTTTTAAGTTACTAAAAAAGATCCATTGGGCCAGCAGCAAACATTGATCTACACCCCCTTTTTTCCTCGCTGAAATATACCCTGTAAATAGTAATACCCACCAACCTACCACACTCCATCCTCAGCCCCTACTTACATGCTGTGTGTCCCACACCATGAACCTAAGGACGTATAAAAATCCTCTTGATTCCCTCCTTAAAGGTGCAACACGGGCTCAAAAATAACCAACCCAAGCCAGCCCACCCCCAATCCCCTTAAACCACTGGTGTAGGAGTGGGAATTGTCAGAGTGGCATGTTTATGGGGCTTCCTCAGAGCCTGGGCAGGTGTTTTAGGGATTTAAAATAATCAAATATATACATACACTTTTTAAGAGCTTAAGTACTTGGGAAACAATTTGTAAAAATCCTTCTGTCTTTTTTTTTTTTTCTTCTGTCTTGTTAATAGCTTTCCCCAATTGATCTGTTCTCTTGCATTAAAAGTGGAAGGAATTTGGGATCCCTGGGTGGTGCAGCGGTTTGGCGCCTGCCTTTGGCCCAGGGCACAATCCTGGAGACCCGGGATCAAATCCCACGTCGGGCTCCTGGTGCATGGAGCCTGCTTCTCCCTCTGCCTAGGTCTCTGCCTCTCTCTCATTCTGTGTGACTATCATAAATAAATAAAAATTAAAAAAAAGATTTCATTCTTTAAAAAAATAAAAGTGGAAAGAATTTATAATTGACCCATATCCAACCCAATGTATTGATCATAAGAACATCATGTGTCCTACCTTGTTTTAAAACGAATACCGTTTTTAAAAAAGGTTTTATTTATTCATTAGAGGCAGAGGGAGAAGCAGGCTCTCTGCAGGAGCTGGATGTGGGACTTGATCCCAGATCATGCCGAGTCAAAGGCAGAGAGGCTCAAACTAAGCCACCGAGGTGTCCCCCTAAAACCAATACTTTCACGTGTTCTCTAAATTGGGTCAAATAAGCAGCACTAAAAGGGCAAAAATAGCAAGGCATATTCTTTAAATACCTGTAATGCATTAAGCCATAAAAAAGCTTTGTATGCAAGCTTCCTTTAAAGGAGCTAGTGGTTTACAGAATCCTAAAGGTGTATTTGCAAATGGACTTCTGGTGAGAACATTAAAAAAAATGGGAAACAAAACCAAAATGAAGCGAGAGCCTTTTTTTTTTTTTTAAGATTTAATTTACTCAAGAGACCCAGGGAGAAGAAGCAGGCTCCTGGCAGGGAATCTGATGGGGACTTAGATCCCAGGATCCGCGACCACTCCCTGAGCCAAAGGTAATATGCTCAACCACTGAGCTACACAGGTGTCCCCCCCCCCCCCCCGGAGAGTTCGTTTTTACTGTCCATGTCAAGTTTCAAATTTAAAGTTCCCAACGAAGCCCTAGGGCGTCGCTAGACCAAACCCTCAGCCTTCCCATGCCCAGGCCTGTCCTTCGGCTCTTGCGTCCTAACCCCGGGCGCTCACGTTCAGTTCCACAAACTGGGGGGTGGCTGGGCCCTGGGCTGGCTATGGGAGCCTTGAGACCCCACCTCCCCCGCAGGCAGCGTCCCAGCCCCCACGGCTTCCCAGCGAGGCCCTGACTCGCTCCCAGGAATGGGCTTACTCGGGCTTCCAAGCTGGCCCGGTGTGAAGCCACCCCGGCCTTCCAACACCCTCATGTCACCTGTAACAATCCCCAGGACCCAACGCCCAAGGCCACCTTCCAATATGCACCCATCGCCGCGAGCGCCCCTCGGTGAGCAGCAAGCCCCAGGGGCGGGGCGCGCCTGGTGCCCTGCCTGCCCGAGCCCCTCCGCCGGGAATACGCGAGTGGCGGAGGGAATGCTCTTGGCTCTAAAAGCACTTCACGCTCTCAAGTTCTCTTGCAGCAAGTGCTTTCCAGCTTCCCCACAAGACCGTTTTTCACGATCGGCTCTCGTTTTAGCGTCGAGCCTCAGCCGGAACCTACACACCCACACCACCAGGCGTTGTGGGCCGTATTCCCCAAGCGCTCCAACTCCGGAGGGCGCAGCCGGCTCGCCACAGTCCGGTCTCCCCCCCAACTCCCGACTTCCAACTGGAGGCGCAAAGGGGACCACCAGGCCTCCAAATTGCCATGTCAACCCAAACTACACAACACCAGGCGAGGCCCCTCCCATGCCCCCCTCGACCGGCACCAGGTTGCTTCTGAGGTCGACTCCCAGCGTCCTCTCCCTGCACCTAGCCTCTCAACCGGGAGGGTGCAGGGCTTCGGTGGAAAGCCGGGAGCAAGCAGACACGGCTGGGGTGCGGAGGAGGGCTGGGGTGGGGGATGTCCCGCCGGGGCCCCAAAGCGTGGAGAGCTTCGGGGGAATCCGGGCAGGTGGATGGAGACGGAACCACGGGGAAGAAGGGAGCGCCCTGCGAGCCTACGCGTCAGGACGCACCTGCGGTAGGGACGACCCGGTCCGCAGGGGCAGGGATGACGAACGTGGGAAACTACACATGCCTCGTGGGGTGACACATCAGCCAGTGACTGCAGAGGCGGGGAGAGCGATGACTAGCCCCTGCGGCCGCGGACTGCCCGGGGTCGGGCGGGGGAGGCCTCAGGCACCGCCCAGCGATCGCTCCCGCCCCTTCAAGGTTCACCTACAGAAACTGAGACCTCTCCTACCTCTCAAGCTCTACTATGTTAGCGCTCTGCCAGGGCCGCGACCCATCTGGGGGGCTCCCTAACCTGCCCGGGCTGGTGTACAAAGGGCAGGACTTGTGACCCCTACGCACTGGGAATTCGGATTCGACAGCCAGAGGCAATGGCACTTCTCGACCCAAGGGCTCAGCGAGTGGAGCACGAGCAGCCCACCAGAGAGCATCCCGCACGTGTTAGGGCTCAAGCTGGGGGGAATGGGCGACTACACCACTTGTTCCCCTAAAAAGTTGCCGCATTCCAGTTGGGCTCGGGGGTCACACCTAGTACTCATTCCAGTCTCCAGTATCTGGATTAAACACTCCATCCTCCAAGCACCACCCCCTACAATGGGGGGAAGAGCAAACGGCCAGTGCTGCCTGTGTCCAGCCTGGGTGTGGCCCCCATGTTAGGTCAAGCCACCAGATCCACCCGAATGCTGACCATGCCTCGGGTCCAGCTTCGCAGCCATGCACGCCTGAAGGGCAGAGAGCGGGTTCTCCCAGCAGGTGTCTGGGTGGAGGGTTCACGGGGTCACCGTCGCTTTGTCCGAGGGCATCATTCAGGACAGAGCGAGGATGGGACTGCCGTTCTCAACAAACCCTTTTGGAAAACGCTCACTCCAGTCCTTCCTGGAACACTCCAGCGTCCCTCCTCTGGGAACAGAAGACGAAAGCCCCCCACCCCTCGGCGACCACAGTCTGGGGTCTCACGGTCCACAGGAACCGGCTTCGAGATGCAGGGCCGGCCTGGTGAGTGTCTACGGAGGTTCAGGGGGGCGGCGAGGAACGTGGCTGGGGAGGCATGCAGAAGCAGGGGTTGGGGGGCGCACAGGGGTCAGGGGTGGGGACGGCAGCGGCTCCCTCCGCCCCGCAAGGCCACCTCGGAGCTGGTCGTTCTCCACCGCCCAGAGCGGCATCCCCACGGCTGCCGGCTCCATCCTCGCCCGCCTGCTTAAGGAGCTAAAGCGGCCTCGCTCCCGGTACACGGCCCCCCCAAACGTCCTGCACGACGTCACCCCAGGTCTGCGGCTGGGAGCGGGGTACGTGAGCCCCCGCTGCGGCCCTCGGACTTGGTGGCAGTTTTTTTGGGCTCCCTCCCCGGGTCCCCCATCACTGCCTCGAGAGTTACAAGAACTGCCACCACGATCTGCAATAGGAGGGAAGGGGCCTGTATACCGGCGCGCTAAGCCCTAGAAGACGCTCTTTTCCAGGGGAGAAACAAGCAACCAGGGGAACGAGATTGGGGTTTCTCGCGCCTTTACTGAGCACCAGCACCCCCTCCTCCCCCGAAGCTGCCCCGACCGCGGCGCAGAAGCCAAGCATGGGGTGCCGGGCGATCCCGTCGAGGCCAGCGTCTCGCACGGACGAAGGTCAGCCCACGGCCCAGTCC